ATAGACTTGCTTTGTACTCCAAACTTTCTACAAAATCCTCAAGTTTGAAACATCCAAAGTACCTGAGAAATAAGGACATAGGTTGAGGGAGGGATACAAATCCATATGGTGCATATAATTTTTATATATAAATTGCCACGATGTGGGCAGATGATAGAATATATTAATAAGTTAAATGGTGAGAGGACCCTTACATGGGAATAAAACACTAAATGTCTCTCTAATATTGTTTTAATTCTAGTGAAATCAGTTTTAATTAAAACCTGCTGTGAACTATTAGACTAGGTATGATATATAATATAGTATAAAGTATTAAGAGTTTCTTGGTAATAGGAATTGAGTTTTGTTTTCTTATGGATATTTTTATCAGATTTTTACATTTTCTATAATAAACATGCAATGTCATTGTAGAATATTTTAAGCAACTTAGGCAGAATTAGGAAATGACAGTCAAAAAATCTGCATTCAACATGTTCATTTGGGTACAGGTAATAGGTTCTACACCAGGAGTTTTTCATCAATTAAAGACAATTAACATGAATGGCATGTTTTTCATTCTGTTTTCATAGTCCCATTTTTGAGGTCTTATATATTTTTTTTCCAGGTGTCTTTATGGGGTTTTTTTAGTTGGACCTTCATAGATGCTTAACCTGTTGCAAACTACCCTCAACTCTGAGAATCCTCTTAATTCAACACTTATTTGTGTTCTTGGGTAATGCACAGCTGTATCTCATTGGAACTGCAGTTTGTTCAGTTACAAAATTAACCATGGGTTGGATATCACTCTTACCTGAACTGCCAACTTTTGGTTCCAGAACCAAAGGCAGTTGTAGTGGTCAAGTGGATCCATCCAACAGTGCATTTCTCTTCTGTGTTCATCACTCAGAAGTTTAACTTCATGCTTTGTGAATATAAAAGTCTGAGTTTTAAATGCATAGACCTCTATAATTCAATAAAAACTATAATTTTATTTATCTGACCAGTAATATTATCCTTAAAATTAAAACTTCAGTGAAGATGTCTTTACATTCTGTGATATTGTACCAGCTGTCAAAAAAGCTACGTAGCTATGGGATGTCTTTCATTGTTGTCTTTGGTCCAGTCAAATTTTATTCTTGCTTTCTCTTCTGTTGATCCTGTGTTCTTTTTTAATATTAATACGATATGGGATGTAACTTAATACATGAATATTCTTATTATTCTTTTATTAAATTATAGATTTCTACATGTATATTGCTTAAAATTCACTTTGAGTTTTGCATCTTCAGAACTTATTCCCTCAGAAACAAAAGCTTTTCCCCAGTATTTGCTGAAAACCCTTGCCTATAGTTACTTATTAGTAGAAAATGATTCCTTTTTTACATATTTCTGAAGATTCCTGTCTCTCTGAATTTTCTCTGTCAGCTGATTCATGTTCTTCGGGTATTTTGGTATAAGGAATGACCTTGCAAACTCATCCCCTTTTAGATGGAATAATAATGTTGGAAGTTTACCCTATCATTTAGTTGAAATATGTTCAATGTTACTATTCTTTGGAAACTATTAAACTATTGACTAAGCGCTACAGCTTAGTATTAAATGTTTGTGTTTGTCATCAAGTCTGTGATGTTCAGTGGTGCCATTTGTACATTGTATCAGCTGCAGCTATTTACAACACAGACATATCATTGACTTGGACCTTTATTGGAGCAATTTTAGCAGATAACAGGCATCAAAATTATGGTATGATGACAGTGTTTTGATATATGAAAATATCTTGGGGAAGAAACACATTTTTAAAAATTTGAGCAACAGATATAAGAGTTATTATTGGCCCACACTGTTATAAAACAGGATCTAAGCCAGACATGGTGGCACAAACCTGTAATCATAGGAGCTTGGGAGGCTAAGGCAGGAGGATTTTGAGTTCAAAGCTAGCCTCAGCAAAAGCAAGGTGCTAAGCAACTCAGTAAGACCCTGTCTCTAAATGAAATGGAAAAAAAAAAAAAAAAAAAGAATAGGGCTGGGAATGTGGCTTAGTGGTTGAGTGTCCCTGAGTTCAATCATCTGTATCCTCCTCAAAAAAGTAAAATAAAAATAAATAAATAAAATGGAATCTAGGGATTTCATTAGTTTAAATACATTTAGGTGGAAAATACAATAAAGTGATCACACTTTATTTTTAAGATCAAAAAAGATCTTATTCAAATTCTGCTTCTTATACTTACTAGCTGGGTAACTGGGGAAGATATTTAACCTCTGAGAAATTTGGTTTCCTCACCTGGAAAAATGGGATTGTTATGATTTGGATGTGAGGTGTCCCCCAAAAGCTCATGTGTGAGACAATGAGAAGATAGCCTTAACCCAGTCAGTTAAGTAATCACCTGATGGCACTAACTGAGTGGTAACTGAAGGCAGGTGAGGTGTGGCCGAAGGAGGTTGGGTATTGGGTCATGGCTATGGGGAATATATTTGTATCTGGTAAATGGAGTCTCTCTGCTTTCTATCATGTGAGCTACTTTCCTGTGCCACACTCTTCCACCATGATTAGGAGCTCTGAAGAATGGAGCCTGCTATCTTGGACTGAGACCTTTGAAACTGTGAGCTCCCAAATAAACTCATTCTCACCTATAATTTTTCTGGTCAGATCCTTTAGTCGCAGCAGCAAAAAAGCTAACTAATACAGGGATAGACAACAAAGTTCTCATAAGTTCAAATAATAAATTGTTCTTGAAATATGAACATAGATTGTTTAAAAACTTGGCAATAAATACATGTTACTTGGTTAGCAAACCGAAAGTCTAAGGGTTAGAGTTATATTTTGGATTTTGTATCATATGCCTGTATATCATTTAAATAAATAAGTAAATGATTTGAATGATTTAATATATGGAATACTTAGCAAAGTGTGCAGCACCTATGAAACATGCAATGTTAACTCTTAGACGACACCTGTAATCATTCAAAATGCTAGACCAAATGACCAGAACTGCTTTTGATGACCAAAGAGGCAGGGAAGATTCCATAAGGGAAAGTTGTGGTTAGGATTCTCAGCTGCAGAGATTGGAAGTGCATTTCAAACAATGATCTATTATGAATATTATTAGAGTCCTCTGCTCCCTGCAGGTAGAAAAAAAGCATGTACTTAATTCAGAGTTTGAACTAGCTTTCTCCCAGATGAGCTCTTAGAAAATAAGAAAATCTATGACACCCAGGTATAGGGTGCCTACTTACAAAAACAACCACAAACAAATAAAAAACCTTAGAAACTGTCATACAAGAAAAACTTTTGCTAAAATAATAAGCCCTTTGAAGTTTATTTACTCCTCTGGCCAAAACAGGAAAAATAATTTTAAAAATTTACTTTGTCATTTTCACTCAGTGAGATTTATATCTTTTTCTGAGTATGAAAATGACAGGTGATTGAAAATATATCAAGCAGAAATTACAAAAGAGATAGGGGTTTTACTCAGGTAGAATCCTATAAGTGGTGGTGTTATATGAGGGGCTTGGATGTTTTTATGCCCAAAGAAGATGCACACAATGCATCTAGCAAGCAACATTTTAATACAAAATCCCCACAGCGGTTTTTGAGGCAGAAAAGATTGAGAACAGATGCAGAAATTTAAAAAGAGAAACTGGATGAGGTATAACTTGAGTGTGCCTACAGTAAACAAAACAGTGTCTCTATAGAAGTTTGTTGTTTTAAATGATAGTGTTTTTAATAATGTGAACTTATTTTCCTCTGTTCTCTGAAGGTAGTTTCCATAGATTACCAGAGAAGGGATAGAGCCTAGGAAAAATGTTCAGTTATAACCCAGTGTGAGCCTAGGGAAACCTTTAGAATTAGACCCATGGAAATACTTTTGTTGCATGTTGGATTTTCCCAAAGTAGATGCTGAGATGGATTTGGGTATAAAATATTTATTAAGGAACAGCACCTGTGAAAGAAAAAAAGGACAGAGAAGGATTAAGCATAGATAGAAATAAATATTGATGCAGTTCTGATAAAGCCTTAACCAGCCAAGTAGGTGACTCTAAAGTGAGTTTTGCCCAACAAAGTTTACCAAGTTGGGCTGCAATAGCTGGATCTTTACAACCACAGTGCTCACTCAGTGGACATATGCATTCCCCCTCTACTGTCACCAGCACTGCATACCAGGCTTCAGGTAAAGCAGCTCCCTGCAGCTCAGACCTGAAGATAATGAAAACAGAAGAATGTTGATTGTAGTTCTGCAGTTTGGCATCAAGTGTATCCTTGATGAAGGATCTGAGTATACATTCTTGTGTCTATCACTGCTACATTAGAATTCTAAAATAGCTTTAAAAGATAATATCTCTAGCTAATGCTGTATATCTAAAATCTTTTTTTAAATTGTTTTATTTTATTCATTCTTTTTAGATATACATGACAATAGAATATATTTTGGCATATTAAACATATATGGAGTATAACTTATTCTAATTAATATCCTATTCTTGTGATTGTACATGACACAGAATAAACCTGGTTGTGTATTCCTGTACAAGGCTACAAAAAAGTATGGACAATTAATTCTACTGTCCTTCCTATTCCCCTTTTTCTTCCCTTTCCTTTGTTCCCCTTTGTCTAATCCAATGGACTTCTATTCTTTCCCTTCCCATCCTCCCTTGTTGGGGGTTAACATTAACATATCAGACAGAACATTTGGCATTTATTGTTTTGGGGGGACTGGCTGCATATCCAAAATCTGGACTCTTCATTTATATTTCAATCTTTTATTCCCCTTTCATTCCCCACTTAATACTCCATTCATTTTCATTTGTAAACCCAGCAAAAATAGCTGAATAAAATATGTCAGAATTATGCAGCCTTCTAAATACCTCACGGGTATATATGATCCATGTTTTCAACACAATATTAGGTAGACACTCCAGAATGTTCTTTTATTTCTCTAAATACTATATTATCTGTTATTTTTAAGTTTCACATTTGTTTTCTCATATTATGTAGAACTATTATGTTGAATTCATATTTTTTCCATGTGAAATTAAGAAAGGTTTTACATTATTATTTTTCTTCAAGTTTATGTGAAATAATAACAATTTATTATAAGTTCTTTAGTAGCAATTTACTAAAAATATAGTAGAAATCTATTATACTGGTCTAGAAAAAAATTTAAAAGTGTTATATATTTGAAATACAAGCCTAAAGTAAAATCTAAAATGTTTTGCATATTAAATTTTATACATCAATAAATTATTTCTTTAAATAACATGTGGAGAGCTTATTTCTCAAAACAACATCTTGTTTCCTAGGGGACAAGTTTTTTTTTCTTTTTTTATTGTGGAATAAACAAAGGATTATACCTATTATATTCAGAGTTAATATCCCTAGTTTAATACATATAATTCATTAATAATAATGAAAAGAAGGAAAAGATTATTAAGTGCTGAAGGAAAGAGTTCATTCTTCAACTTCTTGAGTCAGTTTTGACATTTTTGTGACCATTCCAAATCTTGATGAGACCTTCACTCAGGAGTTTTACAGGAGTAGGCAAGCATGAAATTAAATTACCAAAGTGAAGTAGCTTACAGATGCCAAGAGATCCCATAACTCAGTAATACTGATAAATCCTTAAATTTGTTCTTTAGCTTCTCGGGTTTTTGTTGGTGGTGGTGGTCTTAGGGATTAACTGGGTGAATTCCTTCCATTTTTGGTTTCTGATATAGAAAGAATAGATTACACATTTTCAGAAAAAGAAAACATTTTTTCCTTAGTGGGAAAATTTCTGATTATAATATTTTTTAGTATGGTCAAGTTATCCAGGCAGGTACCTATATTTTTAATGTTACCAAAGTATATTGTCCTTTCACAATGTCTCCGGAATTGCTCAAGTTCTTTCATTACAATCCTGATAGTAGTGTGTAGCTGATAGTTTTGTCCCTGCAAACTTTACTTTAAGGAATATAAATTCTTACCTGTGTGTCATATCCTGGAGGACTTCCACATGAAGAATTGTAATATGCTACGCAGAATTCTCATTTACAGATGAAGATAACAGACTGACTATATTAAAAATGTGTCACTGTTGGTAATGTAACCATTTAGAACATAACATTTACTGTTTTCAATGACCCAAGTGTAACTTCCTTTCAACTCTTGCAAAATCATTGCTATTGCTTTTTTTAAGTCAGCATCAGTCATCTAATAGAGTCTGTGTGTGTGTGTGTGTGTGTGTGTGTGTGTGTATTGAAAATTCTCCAGTGGTTTTGACTACAATGGCCAGTTTTGAGGCAATTTTTCAATTTTCATACTAAGAATTTTTCCTACCATCTTTATTTACATACTATCTGCTATGAATGCTGAGATATTTTGTGTAATGTAGTGCCTTCTCCTGGCTACAAATTAGAGGCCAAGTTGATACAAGATTCTCTGAACTAAGGAATTATAATGAATTCCCTTTTCACTGTTATTTGTTTTTGTTTTGGTACCAGAGATTGAACTCAGGGGCACTTAACCACTGAGCCACATCCCCAGCAATTTTAATATTTATTAATATTTTTGTTTGTTTTTAGACAAGCTCTTGCAAAATTTCTTAGGGCCTCAATAAAATATTGCTTCACTCTTTTTAAGTTCGCTATCACTTTCCTTTGTTACTGTAGAAGGATATGGTATTTCAATGATAAATAGCAACTCAGTCCATACCTCAAAGGAACCTATGGGCCATTGGCCAACTCTATTTCCATCCTGTGTTCATTTCCTTAGTTCATTTCTTCTTGATATGTAACTTGGATCTATATGCCTAGAATTCCAAGACTTATGAAATAAGAACAAAGTGAAAATTCCAAGTGAAATCACAAATAATACATTCTTTCATTCAGGTCTAAATAATAAACCAGGAGTATAATTACATTCAAGTAGATAGATCATCAAGGTTAGTGCCATAGTCATGAAATTATAGGATACAGTGTTAATGGTATACATCATAGGCCAGTTTCCAACAAAAAAAGAACAAGTTAAGGCACATCGCATCTGCTACCTCACAGAAATAGGCAAAAGACTTGGTAAATATCTTTATATTCTGAGGACTGCCCATGCTGCCCATACTCTACATAGGAAGATGGCCCTACTGTTCATTAGTACCTTAAATATTTGCCTATTCTGAGTTAGTCAGTGCATCTAAAGAAAGGGTTTTGAAAGAGATTCAAGCTTTCGTTTTTAAAGCCCTACCCATTAAACCATATATTCCAGGAGATCTCAAGTTGCTTGAGGTGGTATTGGTAGCTATGTAGGCCTGATTTCATATGTTATAAACCCAGACACTTTGAAAGAATCCGTTCCACAAGTTGCCACAAGTTTAGTTTGTTTGACCACCAGCCACACCACCATTAGCAGGGAAACTATTGCTATGAGGAAAGTGCCTTCCAACATGTATTGGGCCCTCACTAAGAATGAAAGTCAACTTATAATGAGGTAATAGCAAAACAAATCCAGTACCTTTTTACAGGCTGAATCATGCAACATCAAATGTCAAGTAAGTGGTGCCACTCTTATTTAAACCCAAGTATTTCCTACCCAGAACCTGAATTGTAAATCACAATACATTTTGTCATTGTGAAAAGATGTAAAAATGTGTAGACTGCATGTTTTTATACATTTTTGCAGTAAGGAAGAGAATCTTTCTCTTTCTGATGGTAGAATAAAAATGTGTACCTAATAGCTGTGTAACCTTGATGACTATCACAATTAGGCTACAGGGTCTTTCAGGAGGGATTCTTAATATATACACAGGGTTTTTCTGCCAGACTATCCTGCCTAATAAATTGTCAGCTGAGACTGCACCTGAAAAAGTTCTATTCTACTAAATATAATCTTAAGTGGAAGATAGGGTGTTTTTACCATATGGCATGTGTAAAACTTTAATGACCAGTTGTGCACACCCCTGTGGTAGATGTACCTTTCTTTTAAGTCCGCTGTTATTAAATTCAGTGTACATAGCATTTCTGAAACTATGCAGCTAATTAATGTAAGACAATGCCATATATGCAGGCTTCCCTGAGGATTTTTTTTCTCAACAGAAAAGAACTCTTAGTTCTTTTGATCATTCATTTATTATTTAGCAAATATGAATTAGAAATTTTCCTATATGTATTTTTGCCCCTATGTAAAAAACAATACCTTTTCTATAATGGATTTATATTTAAAGGAAAGAAGGAAGACTGGTAAGGAATCATATTAAAGAAATAGCCAAGGACCTTGGTCAAAATTTGAATTTCATTGAAATTATAATGAAAATCTACTGGAGGCTTTAGAGCAAGCATGTATTTAAATTTAATATGAATTTTGAAAGGGATCATTCTTGCTGCTTTGTAACTAAGAGAAACATACCTCATTCATGTGTCCATATTAATTCCCTTGGCTCTTAAAAAACACACACTAGATTGTTCCAAAGAAACCTTAAGTGCAGCATAATATGAATGCATGTCATATGAACAAAGATTTAGGAATACCACCCATGCATCACACTCTTAAAAACTCAACATACATTAGTATTAAACAGGCACTGACATTTCAGGACTTTGTGCTCAGTAAAGACAGACTTAGTTTACACCAGTCTATTTGCAATTCTAACAAGCTAGGTTATCTATTTTGTGATTTTGCAGATTGCAAGCAGTACTTTTGGAGAAATGTGTCATAGAAGCAAGAATGATAAATCTGAATACAAAGTAAGGACTTTTTTGTCTTTTAGTTATTGTTGTGTGTTTTTTTTTAATTTAGTGGCTTCTACATTTCTTTTATTATATACTGTAATATTTTTTATTCCTAAAACAATGCCTGGCACCCTATAGATGCTTAAAAATAATTTTTAATAAAAGAATAAGTATCAATCATGTATCAATTCACTACATATTCTCTATATAAAAGACAAAATGTTACATTTTAAGAGTAATAAATAGAAGATTAGCCAAGACAATCTTGCTGCTTTCCAAGAGTTTAGAATCTAATTGTGTTTAAGAAATTCATCACATGACTGTTATCTTAGATAGCAATTGACATTTGCTGATGTTTGCTCAGTTCCAGGCACAGTGCTCTGTGTACTCCTTGAATTTTATGTTTTAGTCCTGGCCGCAACCAGAAAGGATGGTAATGCTACTTTCTCCATTGTACAAGTAAAGAAACAGAATCTTAGAGAGTTTAAATAATTTGAAGAAAGTTGCAAGACAGAAATGAAACCAAACATCTGCCCTTTTTTCTTAACAATTAGTAATAATTATCTCTATGAAGTTAGAGACTGAGGCTGTTACTGGCATTAACCTTTAGAAAAGGGAAATCTGTCTTATTGTTGTGTCCTCAGGGAAATGTTCAAGTAGGAGGTGAGCATATGAATTGACATATAAAAAGAGAATACAGCTATGCCATATGCACATTATCATTATCAGTGCCTGTTGAAATGCAAAAACAGAACAAAACAAAAAAGCAAGATATATAGAAAAAGGAAATTACAGCCTTAAAATCCCATTTAAGTTTTGAGCACGTATGGCACAGGCACAAATCTTTTCACATGCATAATTATGTTTAGATTTTTAAAATCATAGGTATGGTTTATCTGACTCTTAACATTCATCTAAATAAAATATTTTAGCTGATATAATTAAAGATTCATTGTTCTTCAAGATGTTAATTTTTGCAAAATTTGCCAGGACGTCCTATGCCAGTAAATTGGAGAAAATTTATGCTAACCTACTTGATTTTCTATAAGAGAAGGGAGGTGAGAAAGAGAAGAAAGAGGAATATAGGAGAGTAAAGAGGAAACAGGAAGAGTAGAAGAATAGGGATGTGGAGAGAACTAAATTCTCACAGTTCAATGTTAGAGAAGGTGTTCTCAAAGGAAAGTATATTCTATTAATATAAACTCAAGTAATGTACACTCTCTGTTAAAGTGAAGCTTTTCTCTGACTCAAACTATTTTTACAGCAAAGGATGGAGATATAGAGGGGTGTGTTTGTGTGTGTGTGTGTATGCACCCTCACATGTATGTGTGTTTCTGCAGCTGAGCCCCAGGACTTTTCTCATTGTGTGCCATAATGGAGGTCCTGTCTCCCTGCTGCCTGTCTCTTTTTCCTCTTCTCCCTCTCTAGTTTTTTCACTATGTCTTCTAATATCCTATAGAGCATGAAGACTAAGCTCAATACATTGCATGCTGTGAAGATTTTAAATGACAAGATAAATGCCAAGGAAGTGTACCAGTACTGGCAGGGTATTTCCAGATCTTGGGGTTTAAATGCTTTAACCTTTACTTGCAAGTAGCTCCTTATCTCTGATTGGCATGTGATCTTTATTCTTGTTGGTTTCCTCTAGTCTTCAACAAGGACTTTTTATTTGTCCCTAAAAATCTAAGTGATATTCTCCTAGTGTATGTCCCCTTCTTTTAATGCTAATTACTTTTTCAATTTGGAGCAAGACTTCACGGTCAAGAAAATAGAGGGAGAAGCAAGCATAGTGAGAACCATTCACATTTTTTTTTCCTTTACGACTTTCAAAATCTTTTTTATGCTAACTTTATTTTTTTATTTACTAAAAGTTACGGCTTCAGTTATAAATTGTTTTGCTGCTAATAATAGACAACAAACTATAAAAGATTAAATATAACCTAGGTTATTATTTCACATAAAGATCCCAAGTTTGGCAGTTGATGCTTGATTGGGAGCTCTGTGCAATCTTTATTTATGCTTTGCTGTTCAGCATGTACAGTTCAATCCAGCAGCATACAAGATGGAGTCTGCAGCTGTCTATGATATAGAATTTCCAGGAAAGAGACCAGAGAAAGAAGACCCATAAAAAATGTGTCTCCCACATTTTATAGATGAAATTTCCCAGCAGAACCACTTATATCTCCAGAACTGAATATATAGCCAAATCAAGCTGCAACAGAAACTTGAAAAATATGATGTTTTTAATGGGCATATTAACACCCTGAATAAAATTAAGAACCCTGAAGAAAATTCAGTAGGACAGAGAATGAAAATAGTGTAGATATCTGCTAGTCCTTGCCACAATCACATAGCCTTTTGTCCTTAACCTGAAGTCTTGATCATCTAAGCTGAAAGTGACTCTAATGCTAACTAATATTGGAAATATACCCACTTACTTTAAGCGCTAATTGTGTGCCAAGCAACTTGCTCAAGACTTAATGTGCATCTTGTTTCAGGTCTTTATCATGCCTATGGAAGTGGCATAACCTTACTGTGGCTTTGATTAGGGCACTTCATATAAGCCTCAGTTTCCACAGAGTCCTAGAAAGTAGTAAACATGGAAAATTCATCAGTTCTTAAGCTCAAATGAGTAGGTATTGTATACTTAATATACACCATGCCAAGAACAGTGTTAGACACAGAGTAAAAATTTTTGATGAATGTATATATGGTTCTTTAACTGGCTTCATTTGAAGCAACCATATCTGACTCCAGAGTTTGGGATTTAGAACACACACATTGTCTTTCATTATTTTATTAAAAGTTGCCTGTTTTGCTTTATATTTATGCATTACTTTGCATTTTTATACTGTACATTTTTTTCTCCAGAATACTGTCTTTGAAAGCCTGATGAAATTAGAATATTTTTTTTTCTTCCAAGTGAAAGAAACCTAAATCTAAATAAGCTTAGAAAAAAGGGAAAATGTATTACCCAGACACAGAGGTTTGTCATGAAATACAAGGATATGGATATTCTTAGACCTCAGGAAAAATGAGAGAAAGCTACATCGGCAGAGTTAGCAAATTTTGATCCATACATCTCTTCCTCTCTGTGCACTTATACATTCCTCTATTATTTTGCATCTTGGCAATTTATGCTTCACTGGTCCACAAAGCAGAGAACAGCACAGTGTCAGCGCCCAAACTTGGTATGTTGTATCTTCAACAATTAGAAAGACACTTTTCTGGAGGCATTTCCAAAATTCTCAGAAGAACTCTGAATGACTCAGCTTGTGAGGCATTAACTGTATGAATAAACTCAGTGGAAAGAAATTGTGATTATGTGTCAATGTGGCAGTACCTTAGTTCACCATCAAACATTAATTTACACATTGCTGAGAAGATATTTTGTAGATGTGATTAAAGCTCATAAACATTTAACTTTAAATAAAAGAGATTGTCATGGATAATGAAATTGCTGATTTGCAAGCTATCATTGATTCTTCCCAGGACCTACCCACACCACCCAATTTGCCTCTAGATCTGTAACTAGACTCAAGTCCCAGCATGTTCCAAAGGTTAAGGTACAAGGAATAATGCAGGAATTTGCAATGCTACACATCAAAATAACTGCATAAAATTTCTCACTTATACAGGCAGAAATTTAGAGGTTATATATGAAAATTGATTTTAAGGCTACTAGACTATGATAGGAAACATAAGATTGTATCAAACTGTATTACTGATATATGCATAAGTAAGCAGATACTCTGTTTTAGGTAGGTGAAGGAAATAAGAAGACTGGGAATTATTGGGCATTCTTTTTGAAATGAAATGAATGTCTGGAGACATAAAATATCATTGTGGTCCATTTGTCAGAGAAGGGACTTCTGAAAGTCAGATGACCAATGATTTTGTAGCGCAGTTCTGTCTGGTACTGGGTATAGCTCGTTACCAAACATATTCTTTGGATATTTCCCCAGTGATGGAATGCATAACCACAACAGACACACTTGAAACCTGATAGAATCTCCACATTGGTTCACTGACTTCTGCAGGAATCTTGTTTTACACTGATGTATTATATCCATATTAAGTTGATTGGACCTGGGGAGAGAAAGTAGCAACTATATGTGATATATGAATGTGACATCTTTGTTTCAGTGTATAAAATAAATCCATCCAAAATCAGAAACCTGAAAACTTGGTTATGATTTTGAGGATCCAATGACATGGGACACTGAAATATTCCTACTAGGAGGAGTAATACATTGCTGCATCTGGTCTCTTGTGCAACTAAAGAAATACAACACTTAATGAACCCCTTTGGTGCAGCAAACTAACCAGGGGTTGACGAGCAACTTGTGTTCATTGATACAGCAGGAGTAGGAGCCCTTTATTGTAGAACAACAGAGGTATTTATACATTCTACACAGCTTATCTTAATTAACATAAACTCGATACAGCAGTCAATGAATAAGGAATCTCCACACTTAATGGCTCACTGGCATTACTTCACAAACCACTCCCCCTAGCAAAATGCCAGGCACCATCAGACTTGTTTACAGACTCTAACAATATTTGGAGATGTATTGCAATCTCTGTAAATATCTAGAAATATAGTCTAATTAATTATACTTTTTTAAAAATGTAAATGTATAAATTGGAACTACATGTCTTTCTTCATCTGAATCATCTGTGTTTTTGACTTTGGGCATTCCAATAAACATTGTAACCATTTACCCATTATTATCTAAGCTTTTTATTCTTCATGTATTCCTTTTTCCCCTTTTACTTTTGCTGGAACAAAATTGCTGCTGAATTGTCCATTAACTTTTCTTAGCAATTGCACATACTTGAAAAAAAAAATCCAAGCTAGCTCAAGGCAAACTGAGCAGATATTGCAAGTGTTTTCAGAAGCTCCATTACATAACAAATAGGGAAAGAAAATTAGACTTAAAGAAAATTAAGGCACTAGCAATGCAAGGTCTTTAGCAAGAATATTTCTGCTAAACTTTAATGTGTTATTCTGAAATACAGAACGAGTTTACGATACCAATGAAGCTCTTCCTTATAATTAAACATCAGCAATACAATTAAAATACATTATCCTTGTTTTCAGTATGTATCTTTAGAAAGATAACTGGAAAAAAAGAATGAATTATGAAATATAAAAGAAAATTGAGGTGAGTAGGAAAGACAGGCTAAAATAAGTTAGAAAAAGATCTTGTATTTTCCACATATCAATTCCTATTTTTACAAAGTACTGAAAGAATAAAAAAGTTCTTGAAATAGTAATATCCAATCTGTAGCAACTCAATGCATAATTTAGTCTGTCTCACAATAGATTATCTGATTCATAGAAATCATTTTGAATGTTATCTTCTCAAATAGCAATTTTGCCTTTTGGAAAGCCAACTTCAAATATATAAAGAGGTTTCTGTGGTCTGTCAATAATAATGACAAATAATAAAGACAGAAAGAAAAAGCAGAGGGAAGAGGGAAGATGGAAGAAAGGAAGGAAAGAAGAGAAAGAGGGGGCAGGAAGAGGATGAGGAAGGAAGGAATCCTGGAAGAAAGGAAGGAAGGAAGCAGGGGAGGAAGGACAGAGAGGGAGAAAGTTAACTTAGAGTCTAGGTGTTTAAGCCAAGTACTGTGTTTTACTTTAATACATGTCTTCTATCATTATATGAGTTTTATGAACTTTGATCACTCTTATGTCATGAATCTTCCCTGTCCATTTCTAATTGTTAAAATATTTTGAAAAGTTTAATATATATATATATATATATATATATATATAATTGTAATAGTTTATTTTAAAGTCATGACAATGTTTTTAACCTTCTGTTTCAGTAATATATCACTTGGAAGATGAACCTAAAGTAATTTTAAAGACCTTCACTGCAGATATTTTTAATAGAGAAAATTTGGAAGAAAGGCAATAGTGAATAGTTAATCATAGTGCATTCATCAGTGGAGTAGTATGTCTTTACCAAAATGATTATTAGAACATTTTGTAGAAAAGTCTAGTTGGTAAGTCAGAAGACAAGATTCTGCATAGGTCTTAATTATTTAAATTCTATATATTTGTGAGATTGAATATAAAGGGGCATAAAAGTATTAAAGAACTGCTTTGAAGGGTGGAATGGTGGGGAATATTTCAATAATTATCTTTTATGTAACATGTAAAAATGAAAGGAAGTTTTAACTCGTATTTCTTTTTCAAAATTTTAATTTTAGAGAAAAAAATTGATGCTGGTATGTGACATTTGGTTTTCTAATCTATCTTAGGCCTCCACTTCTCTTTTTAATTTTTTAATAATCTTTTGTCTCATGTATTACTTTCCAGTTCTCATTACATTTTGATTTGATTTGATTTATTCTTAACACTCTCTGATTCATTACCTACCTGGCTTCTCATTTTGTAACATAGATTTCTTTAGATCCAAAGGACTTTATTAAAGATGGAACAAAAATTCTGATGGGGGGGGGAGAATAAGAAAGTGAGACAATATTTAAAAGAAAATTCTATGCTATAGGTTCTTCAAGTAATAGAATTAAATTCAGATGGACATAGCCTTTTTCCAAACAATATTTTAGACTCATAGAGGAAGAGAGGCATCAAAAATGAAAATAATTACACACATCCTGATAGTAGTTAAGCACCTCAAAAACTAGTGTACTTTAACACACACACACACACACACACACACACATCATGAAGATCTAATTCATGTTTGTAATTCAAAGCAGGCATCTCAATACTGTAAATATACAATTAATTATAAAATTTATTGATGGTGAAACAAAGATATGGTTTCGTGCTAAAAAATACTTCTTATATAATAGCAATTTAAAAAGAAGAAGAAAGGTAACAATGTGAGATCTTTAAAAGTTTATCATATATGAAACTACAAAAGACTGTGGTTGTGTTTAGAGGATAGGAACAAAGAGGAATGTAGTATTCTTAAAATGATGACAGACATTTAGGCATAATTCTATCTGTCATGGTAATAATTTAGAGTTTTTAACATAAATGCAAGACTACTGAATTATTTTATGCAAATAATTAAGAGATCTAACACGCATATTTAAAAGGCTGGTTGAAAATCATCTGGAAGTAGTCAAGGCAAACATATGCACGTCAAATAAAACTATTGCCAGAGACAGAGCAAGAAATCAGACTTGTTTAGCCTAGGGTGCTGACAAGGACATAAAGAGAAGTTATGCATGGAAGAAATGCTCTGAGCTGCAATTCACAGGAATTGGTGATGGCATGTTAAGAAGGAAAAACAAGAAAGATCAAGGCTGAGGAATGCTAACATTTAAAGTGCTGGTTAATGGATATAAATCAATGGAAGAGTTTGGGAGGAGCTGGCAGAGATAGTAGTAATCAATTTTTGAGAAGGTAATCATGAAGAAGAAAGTTATCCCTCGTGAGTAGTTTCTGCCCACTCTTACTTCTGTGGAGGCAGGAAGGGAGTAGAACAAATCAGCTTTTTGGTCCCTTTGTAACCCTTTCTCACCTTGATGAAAATAAGATTTAGAAGGTCCAGAGAAATCACAAAATGGAAATAGAGAAAATACTAAGTTTAAGACTCTGACTAAATTAAATTTTGAATTGCAGGTTATTGGAGAAAAGCCCCTCAATTTCATCTCTGGAGAATGAGTGATGTCCTGTAGGTTTTCTCAGACGGGGGTCTGGGGTGGGGCAGGGATGACTCTAAATATCCATTCACAGGTAGGCTTGCTTCCTCCTGTCTAGCCTCAATCCCTCCCTCCAAATACAAGACCTTTATCTGTCTGTGCTTCAGCCTTCAAACCGAAGTGTACTTTAGCAAGCAAAACTCCATTTATGGTTTATTGTCCTCACTCTTAAGAAGTCATGGCCTGGGATGTCTTTGTACAAACCCAAATCAAACATATGACTGTAAAAATTAGCATTTCCCCTTCCAGAAAATGCATGCTGTATCCATTCTAAAGATAGAATAGTTTGCCCAATTAACATCCTCTTGCCATTCTCCTTTTAAATTCATTTGTCATCATTTAGAGATGAGGAGAATTTGGTTATTTTCTGCTACTTTGGAGTCAGAAGACAAAATGATTACTTGAGAACATTGATAACTGCTTTTTGGTTTTGAGATTTCATCACATTATATCATGTGATGTTCAGTCACTCTTCTTTTTTAGAATAGGCTAATAAATACTTACTCTGACAAGTTATTGCCAGCCGTGGACACTGAATCAGATATTGTGAACGCTGAAATGTTTCATTAGATAGAAGGTCCTCTTAAACTGACCTGGGGTTATTTCTGCAGTATGGTAGGGCAGATGCTTAGAGTGAACTGGGAATTAATGAGAAATGGGGGAAGTGGGAATAAAGATCGTAGTCTGTGCATACCACCTATGTGTTTTCATAGAGGAGAAAGGAGAATGGTTGTTGAATGGTGAAATATTAATTCTAGGAAAAAAATAATAATTTCAAGACAGAAGTCACTGCATTATGTATAGACAAAAATGAGAAGAATAACATTCAAAGCCAGAAACAATGACAGAGCAATTAAAAAAAATTGAGAAAATGGGGGGTGGTAGTGAAGATGAGATTCAGAACAAAACAGAAACATTGATTTGATAAAAGTGGGGACACAGTCTTGACTAAAATGTGAAACCAGAGAAGATGGGTACTGTGAGGTAGATTTGGGTAATGTGTGATAGTAATAAAAAATATTTGCTTTATCTTTTACTTTCTTAGTGAGATGTTATGCAAGGCCAGGTGTTCCAAATGATAAAATTAATTTAAAATATTATTCCAGATATTCAAGAAAGCTGATCAGGAAAATGCAGTAGGATACTAAGGGGTTAAGAAGAATGGGATATTGTTGGGAGCAAGTCAGATTTAAGTCTTTCAGCTATGTGTATGAGACTCTTCATTCTACCCTAAGTACCCTATGTGATGTTGAAAAAAATATATTAATAGTTAATGCTGTGCAGTGCTGTCAATTGTGCACAAAAATAAATACACATCCATTTAGAACACATTTTGCTATACACTACACATTTATATGCCACAATGTTATATCTAAACTTTCAAATAAGTGAAATATGTATCTGCTTCAGCAAACACTTCTGAGATTTAACATTGATAGTATTTCTTTGGAACCTATTCATGACTATAGGAAGTGTCTACCTCGGTGATTTCTCAGCTTATACTTTGTAGACTTTATTATAGGGTAGAAAGCAGCATATTACAGTGACTTTTTATTTGCTTCACTTCTTAGTAGTATCAGTTCTTGAGAAATACTTCTTTAATAGATGTGAATAAATCTGTGTTAAATGCTTAAATCACAATTTTTATTTTCCTTGTAGTATTGGGGATTGAATCCAAGGTCTTGTTCACCCTAAGTAAATTTTCCACTAGGAAGATACAGCCCCTCTTAAAATTTATTTTGAAACAGTATCACTAAATTGTAAAAGCTTTCATTGAACTTGGTATTCCTGCTCAAGCCTGGGATTATAGGTATGCACTACCATGATAGATCAAATGTTCTTGAACAATTGTGTTATTGTTCTATATTTTATTTATTTATTTTTTGCACCAGAGATTGAACTCAGAGGCACTTAATCACTGAGCCACATCCCCCAGCCTGCTTCTATATTTTAAAACCTACTTATTGTAAATTATTTGACAGTAAATTATTTTATAGTGTTTAATATGAAATTACAATGCACATGGACATCTATTTTGTAAATAAAAATTTCATTCTTTCCTATTTTTTATTCTTGAGCATAAGTATAAGCTACTATAACAATGTAAAAAATGCTACTGTATTATGAGCTTCACCCACAATTTGAAACTACTATAATAAATCTAAACTAGTATTTGCAATACACATGCTAATTATATAATTGAATATGTGACTTGATCTGTATGAATTTATTTGAACTTGAACAAGAAAAGGCAAAATATCTGTTCTAATTCTGACCAAAAGCATGTATTTATGTTCAGGATGATATCTTCCTATATGTTTATAGCAAACAAGGAAGATAATAGCTCTTCCAACTGTGTATATCTATATGCAAATTAGTTTAATTCTCTCACCTTCTTTGAAACAAGAATAAAAATCTGTATCTTTTCACATTATTTTAGTTGTCACATGTGTTTGTCGGTGCTTTTTTTGTTTTATATGATGATGAGGGATATTGACTTAAAAAAAGATTAATTGTTTTGGAAGGAATAAGAAATAGCACAAATGAAACCATTCTTAATTGCAGGTGAATTTTCATAAAATATACATTTATCTCTGCTATTAAGCCTCATGGTGTTTATTGTCTTCTTACTTCTATTTATCATCTTCTACCTTAAAAAAATTACTTTAAAAACAGTTATTTGTACTATATTTTTAAGTGAATAACACTTTTTGTTTATTTTACCTGTTTGGAGGAGTCTTTCTTAATAGAATTTTTTTTTACTCTTGATCTATGAGGATCATTTCTCAGCAAAAATAATTTTAGAGTGAGAAAATAGAAGCTATGTGTCTCTTCCCTGAAGCTGACTTCATAGCCTTAACATTAACTGAAGGAAGGTAACTGCAACTGCCAGCCCTGGGCTAACTGTCACTGTTTTTTAATGTCATGATCTAGAAATTCAAAAGGGTCATCTTGGGCTAATCCTAAAAAATGGCTAGAGGATATATAAAAATTGATGAAGTAGCTGATACAATGTATCTTCTCTGCTAGGGGATTTGGGGCTGCTAGCAAAAGTTAGATGAGAATATTTTTCAAATTGTTCATTATAGGTAATTTCAGGAACTAGAAAATGTATGGATATTTATGTAAACTTTGGGCCCTTAATCTTCCTCTCTGAGTGTAAATAAGTATGTCCCTACAAATAATATTAGAGTTATATGTTTAGTTTTTTTTTTATTTAAATGTATCTTGCTCTGAGTTATTTTCACTTATTATACATTTTCCTAGTGTGTTGGCCCTATGACATCTTTTGGTTTCTCATTTGTTCTCAGTCTACATAGCTTGACTAGTTCTTAAAGCAAAATAAATTATCATGAGTAAAATTTACTTAAGATAATTTATGGTTAAGTTTTTTTTTTAAATTTAAAGAACAGATTTTAGAACATTTGAAGATATATAAAACCCTTAAGTATATTAAACACTTCATGAGAAAGCTTCATAAACTCTATTGTTTTTCACTTGAAAGCTACAAAAATGTTGCAGTTGCTTTTAGTTATGAAATTGATGGAGCAAGACAAATAATCTCTAAGAAAATTTTAAAAATAAAATGATCTATACATGTTTGGCTGAAATTATTACCATTAAGTCATTCCATCAAGAAAGGATAAACAGAAGAAAAGTATGATTTTGGATTATTGGGGTTGTTTGTTTTGATATTCTTGTGTTGTTGATTTTCTTGAGTGATTTTGCACAGAGACTTCCACCTCTTTTGAAAAAGAAGTTTCTTCTCGAAATGATTTTGCCTAATTTTTTTTCTAAAAGATTATGTTTCAAAGGATCACATCCTAAAATATTTATTGAGAATCATGTTTTAATAAACCAGAAGAATACTATAGGAAAGAGTGAAAAACTGGCATTTCCAAAATATTGAACAGTATTTGTTAAAATAAGATCTGTCTGTGTGTAAGATAATGCAAGTCTAAAGGTGGAATAATTGAGTTATAAGAGCCTTAATCTAATCAGCAAACTGAACACTGATAGGAATTAAGCTATGTGGTAACTGTAAGCAGGTAGGGTGTGATTGGAGGAAGTAAGTTAATAGGGACGTGCCTTTGGGGTTTATGTTTTGTCCTTGGTGAACAGAGCTCTCTGCTTCCTGTTTGCCAGGAGCTGCTTTCCTTTCCCATGACTTTCCACCCTGATGTTTTGCCTCACCTCACCCAGAAGAAAGGACTGGGCTCTCTATGACTGAGACTTTTGAAACCATGAGTCACAAAAAACCTTTTTTTTTCTCTAAGATTTTTCTTGTCAAGTCTTTTAGTCACAACAACAAAAAATGCTGATTAAAACAAACTATAACTTTTACAATAAGAAAAACTAAGGAAAATAAAATATTTATTATTTGAAGAATTTACCATATATTAAAACATAGTTGTAAATTTAACATGTTATTAATATATATTAGAATACTTCAAATATTATCAAACTTTTTAAAAGAATAGGGGAATGATTACTGTTAAATTTGCCCATTATCACGTAACTTAAGGATCTGAAGGCGCTGAGATATCAACCCCTAAATGTTAATAAGTTGATTACAACAAAAATATATTTTCTTGTCTCTAAATAGAACTTTTCTGATTAAATAACATATAAGTAATATTTTCCAAGCAATCAAACTGCTATTAATATTTAGTAGAAGACATAAAAATACAATCAAATAATACTTTTACCAGTAATGGTAAAATTCCTGTATTAATACATTTCTTTATACTGTGTACTGTGTGTAGTGTGTGTATAGATATACATGAATGAGCATGTCTCAATATTTATGAATGTAGCATGAATGTTATTTGAACCTAACTATGCTGTGTTCCTAGTATTGTGATGTCATTGAATTATATTCAAAGTTCATAGAAGAAATTGTAATTTTCAGATATACATTCTTTTTTTTATAAAGAAAGAAGTTCTCAGTTTGAATATTTTCTAGTTTTGCGGGAATGAAGAATGATTAGGAAATAAATTCTCTACTTGCAATTAGTTCTCTCCTTGTTCTTCAGTACACTGAATGTTTTAAATTGTTGTCTCCTGTCAATTTATTCTGTTAGCTAAGAAATCATTTACTAGTTTCTCATAAACCGCACACTTTCCAAATTTGATTAAAAATAGAATTTAAGCCCTGGCATGGTGGCACATGCCTGTAATCCCAGGAACTTGGAAGGCTGAAGCAGAAGGACCATGGGTTCAAAGCCAGCCTCAGCGAAGTGAGGCCCTAAGCAACTCAGTAAGAACCTGTTTCTAAATAAAATACAAAATAGGGATAGGGATGTGACTCAGTGACCAAGAGCCCCTTAGTTGAATTCCCCCCCACAAAAAAACCACTTCTAATGAAAAAATACTATATATAATATATAATTATATATATATATTATATAATATATATAATTATCTTTGCTTAGAAGGAACATTAATGTGAAAGGAAAGCATTCATTAGTAAGTACTTATGCATGCAGTAGGAATTGAAATTGCTTCTGAACATTTTCTGTGTTTTGTAACTTTAAAAATTATCTTACTATACTTTTCAAACATTAATGACCAGACTACGTAAATAATGCCTTGCAATGGAATCCTCCATAATCCCCCTACAGTAAAACTGGAAAGGTCAGAATAGTATTTAGTGTTTTACAATTTATATAAATATAAGCTGAACCTTTAGCTTCTCATTAGATTTTGACAGGTAATATAGTAAAAATAAAAGATTCTAGACTGTTTCTTTATAATTCACATAATAACCTGACATCCCTTTTAGTTTCTAATTTGCCTCTTAGTTTGCTAACACTTTCAGAAGTACTGGTATATAAAGGTCTTATTCATATCTTGCCAGTATTATTACCACAAAGGATCTGCATCTCTATTCACTCATTGAAGAAAACTCTGCTACTTATAATAGCAATGTAGTTAATGAAATAATTGCTGTAAAATGTTGTGCTCTGATGTTGTACATTTGAAGACTTTTGCAGACATTATAGCTTTTAGGATATCATTTAGGATGTCATGTTTGAAGTATACTATTATTTAGAAGAAATTGCATGACAAATTTAATGCATTTGGTATTTCTGCTTGACATTTGTGCTGTGCATACATTTCCCTTCATATTATTTGGTTTTAGAAAAATGTTTTCTCTCTTTTGTAGAGCAGCAATATGATATTGTGAAAAGAGCCCAAGTACTGAAACAAGTGAAAGCTGACTGATAATAATAAGCCCTTAGCTTGAAGCCCTGTCTTAAGCCATGTCTTATAGTAATATCACCTAAATGCAGTTTATAACACCAACTCACAGTGATCACTGGAGCATAAAACATGTTCACATAAACTTGTTTCATGCAGCATGTTTTGTTTAATTTGATCTTTTGATATTTGTAATATTCTATTCCTCTTCATATTTGTTTCATTGTTAAAAAAACAATTTACATTACCCCTGTGTGTTAAGTTGTCAGCTTGAAAAATTTTGCAATTAGAAAAACTTTGGCATAAAATTTTAAGAACCTGCTGCAGGAAAAGGAAAACAGACTTGGGAGTCAAGTATTAATTTTTACAGGTAGTGGCTGTATGTCCTTTGGCAGATCATTTAATCTTCTGCATTTCAGTTTATTCAGTGTATAAAATAGTCATTACTAGAGTATTTAATTCAATTAGGAGAAGTTTGCATAGTTAAAATATGTAAACTTTCTAGAATGTTAACCAGGCATAATGTACATATACAATAATTACTACTTACCCTTTCTTTTTAATTATCAGAAAACTTGAAATGGGCTGATAATTTCTCCTCAGAATATATGTATTACCATTCTTAATTTTTCACACTTAAATGCAGTTGGAGAGATGGCAGAAACATAGGAGGTGCTCAAAGATACTTTACATTCATTGGTTAATAGACCTGATTAGTAAATATATGCCTATATAGTGACTAAATGGTGAATTTGGAGAAGTTTGACCAAGAAAAATGGGATTATTTTATCAAAGACAGTTTGGAATTGTTGGCACCAAGTGAATAATAAAATGCATACTTACTTTAATTGTATTTTATCATTATTTTACAATTCTCTACAGAACATATACTGTATTTGTCTTTTAATGCAGTGTTGACTGAACAGGTTATCTCAGTTGTGGTATAATCAGAATTAGTTATTTTGCTGGTGTCATTCCATATTCTCATGTGTCAATACCTTCTTCTAAGTCAATACCAATGTTGTTTTGAGCGTCAAATATTATAATTACCATTGCTGTTTCCTAAGAGTCTATGCATAAAATCAGATTTTTTTTAAAAGAATGACCAGGATATTAAGGAATCTTTTTGCTTTCATTATGTCCTCCAAAATCTTTTCAGATGCTATTTTTTTCTGATTCAATCGAATATATGTAATATAAGAATATGTATATTTCAGTCATAAGTAAGAATACCAAGGACTGAAAAAAATCTTATCAAAGACTGGCTTTTCAGTACAGTATAATTCTTAACATGTTTCAACTTATGCCACTCTACAGACTATTAAATATACTTGAAAGAAAGATCTTTAGGCAGAAGATAAAAATGACTTTGATATATTAGCACAGACCTTTCCTTCTTTCAGCTACTTCAAAGTTGCTCTCTTTCATTTCTTCTCCAAAATTATGAAGAGAATTGCTGTGAATCTTTGTCCACTTTTGAACTTTCCATTCACTATTCAACCCACTGCATCCTGGCTGCTGCTCTCAGCATTCAGGTAAAAATGCAATCATTATGAAGGTCATCGAAAAGTATCTAATGAATATTACTTCATTTGATGATATTGAAACACTATCACATTTATTTCTGTCTTCCCTCATTCTTAGTTTTACTTTCATTTTATGAGCACATTTATCTTTTTCTGTATTCTTCTATATTTCTATATTCGCTATTTATAGAATTCCCTAAACTTTCTCTTCTCTCCAATTATCAATGACCTTGTGTGCACTGATTCCAAAACCTGCTATTTCAGGATCAAAACTTGAAGGCAAAACTTCTGGTTGAGATTTACTTGTTCAACATCATAAGTGTGAAGTCAAACTTGGGTTTGATATTACCATGTGTTTATTTTTCTTCACGTCTGCACCCAGAAGCACCCCAGGAACATTTGAACATATCCCTAACAGAACAAATCAAGTCTGTACTTAGACAATGCTACATTTTCTGAGTTTGTACAACTACAGTCTATTTTCCAACTTATAAAACCGGATTATATTTTAATTGCCTACATTTAATAAATAATCTATTTGTAAGAAACTTCAGTTTTCATCTATATTTCAGCTTCTCAAGATCAAGTCTTTTTCTTTATTATTAAATATAGCCATTTTAGATAGCTCCTAAGCGATTTTTCTTGATCTCATCTCAAAACACCCATTTGCCAAAGAGCCAGTATAAGATACAGTAATGCAAATGTGTTCATATGTTTCCATGTAAATGTAAAGGCATATTTAAAGTGTGTTGAAAAATATAAAATCACATCTTTGCTCAGTACAATATCTGTATTCTCCTGCATTGCCTATTGTGAAGAATTTTTCTTGTAAAATATCTCCTCCATTGACAAGCAAATCTGCATCATTATTGAGTCTGAAGAGTCTATGGATTTATTAGGTGCAGCGGATAAATCTTGAAAACATGATCATACAACCATAAGGTTGCATTCTCTGTCTCTGTTGCTTCTTTACTACTTCACAATGTTATAGTTGCAAACAGTTCACTTCTATATCGTATTCTCCCTTACCTGTTGATGATCAATGAGCATTGCTGCTAGAGACCAGAATTCCTTTCTTAGACCATAATAGAGTTTTCTTTTCCCAGTGCTATCTTAAATCATAATAATTGGCCACACCATATTTCTGTGTTCCTATTATAATAGCATGGATGTAGATTAATACAAAAACACAAACATACACAGGCTCACACAAACAAACACACACATACACACACATTTTTTCTAAAACACATGAGCATAGCCCATTAGGGTGTCTTGTTTAGGAATAATTCTAATCCAAGATGTCTTTGCCTGGAAAAAGCCATTTTCCATGAAAATCAAGGTTCAGGAACTAATCCACAAGGTATTCCATTATGAAGATTTCTTCTTCAAAAGAAGAAGTGCATAAATGTCTTCCTTGAGGGAAAGTAAGAATGTATCTTACCTTTCAAATATCTTCACTTGGGGATCTAAATTGCATCAACATTGCCCTTCATAAGGTAGGAGAAAGATACCTAATCTATTCTTTTCTTATTCCAGAAGGGAAAATCATTACCACTATGCCCTATCCAAGAAA